TTTGTTCTCACTTATGGTCTTATGAATTGTACAGACACACTCATTGATTAAAGAGTAAATACCATTTTTTGTCCTTGATAAATTTCACGATGCCCGCTTTAGTCCCTAGCAAATAAAAAGGCCCATCGTGGTCCCGAAGAAATTTAAAATGGACCCATTTAGTTGAAATCGTGGTCCTCACAAATTCAAAAAAAAAAACTCATATTTGTCCTTAAAAGGACTAAAATGGGTCCATTTTGAATTTTTTAGGGACCACAATGGGCCTTTTTATTTGCTAGGGACTAAAGCGGGCATCGTGAAATTTTCTGAAGACCAAAAAGGGTATTTACTCTTGATTAAACGACGAGCCATGAAGAAGCAAGGGTAATCGTTGGTAAATTCTCTGAGTAGTGTTTTGTCATATCACTTCACTCTGTGCATTTAATTTAATTCTCATTTTTTTATTAAATATTTTGTTCCCCTCTTTGCTCCTGTTCTTTTATTCTCCTTACTATGGACGGATCAGATGATATTTTCTAATTTCTTCTTGTACAGATTTTGAGATGAACCATGAACTAAGCTTATAGAGTATGAACATTCAGATATAGCTGCTCTCTTGAATTGCATGGGAATGAAAATACAATTATTGTGTTTTTTGATGAATATTAATTGATATCACATAACATAAAAAAATGAAACTTGATTTATTTGTTTTATGGCTGGTGTCTGCCTGAGTTCTTGGTTGATTACTGGAACATGAATGACCTTGATTATGTTTACCAGCTAAGCGGTAGAGACTAACCTTAGGATTTTGTAAATTGGTGTTTTGAGGTTGGTTATCATAATAGCCACTACAACAAAATGGGCAGTTCCAGTCGGATAATCTTCGGCGGTTTCATTTAGACAGCCTGAAAATTCCATTCACGGGCGGTTTATGAGGCGTCTCAAATGACAGCCGAAATTCATTTATATTCAACGTCGATTCAACCGGCGTAAATACCAAACCGCCTCATTATTTGTCATGTTAAGGCGGTCTCCGTGGCATTTAAATTGAAATTTAATTATTAAATTAATTTAATAACTGCAAAAGATGATTCATTTTCGGATTGGCGCACCATTTTCCCTCCCATTTATTTTTGTTGGATATGTCATATAAAAAAATGCACTCTAATCTCTCAAAATCTTTTTGTATCTCCCTTTTCCACAAACCCTAATGTCTCAAAGCCTATCGTCTCTTTTTGTGCGCCGTCCCTCATCTCTTTTCAATCGATGGATTGCATAAACTGAGTTCTAAATCGTCCCTCGTCTCTCTCAATCGATGGGTTAGTTTTCTTCTTCTCTTATTTGGGTTTTTGAACAGAATGCTATTACTATCTTGAAGTGTTGCGATTTGATGATTTGCATGTTGCTAATTACCTCTTCTTTCTTTCTCTTCTCTTCCGTATTTGTTTGTTCTTTTTTCTCTCATCCTTTTTCCAACACATCCTGGGTTCTTGATAGAATTTGGTACTTCCTTTTACTTAAAGAGGCTATAAAGCCCAACATATTTTCTCTTTTTCTAACACCTTAAAACCGTTAAAGTTTTACTCTTTTTTATTTAATAAGATCTCATTCTCGTGTACGCATGTTGGTCTTTTTTTCTGTATTTCATTTGCTATTACTTTCAAAACTGGTTGTTCTGATAGTTTGGTTCTTTGATGCTCTCTGCTTGTGCTATTAAATGCTTTTAATTCATTTTATTTTATTTTTTTAATTTTCTGGGTTGGTCCTTGATCTTCTAGTTGATTTTCAGTAGGCTATGTCTTTTGGTTGATTATTTGTCGGTGATGTTGCTTTTTTTTAGGCTACCACCGGTTGGAAGTATGTTATTTTCGGTCAATCATGCGCATTCACAGAGGAGCAATCCCCATTACGATTATTTCTCTGTCATTTCTCAGGTGAATGAATTGTTCAAGTTCATTTGATATTATTTTTTAAAATAGAAAATCATCTTTATTCTCTAACACATCTTTATTCTTTAAAATAAAGACTTTAGTTGAAAGATATTAGTTTAGGCTGGATGAATTGAAATATTGTTTCAATTATTATGATTATGAGGAATGGAAAATAACTTCATTCGGATATTTGTTTTACAAAATTGCTTGGATATATAGATGAATCAACTGGAGTGTTACAAAAGGCTGAAAGTGAATATAACTCATTGTTGATGAGAACTTGAAATCTGCTCTCCACAATGCAACATCAACATGTCATGGACAGGTATGGAAAGAAAAAAATAAATGTATTTTATTCTCTGCACTCTTTATTTGGTCTTCCTAAATCCTAGTTGTTAACTCATAAATTATATTCGAACAGGGTGATAGTTGGTCTTGTCTTTTTGTTGTTCTCCTTCGCTGTTCTGTATTTTTTTTTAAGCGGATTGGACTACTTGTGTTGTAGAGAAAGGTTACTAAAGCCGTAAAGGCTGGTGTGGTGGGGCAGGCAGAGCCAAGACGCTAAGCTACTGCAGATGACATAAATCTTCATCAAGTCAGAGGTGATCATGCTCACAATACAGGGGCTTCTTTAGAACAAAGAATACATGATGAACTTTGATGCATTTTAAAATTTTAGTTTAAGATAGAGGCCTTACAACATAAGAAAAAGAGGTTCTATACTTATTGGCAGAGTGAAAATGTTTAAGAGAAATCTTCAGAAAGATTGAGTTCTCTTTGCTTGCAATTTCAGTGTATTCCGTATAATTGTAATTTTCTTTTATGAATGTATGACCAATATTTTGCCCTGAATGAATGAGTGCTTGGCTTTACATACACTTGGTATCATTTATATGTATGTGAGTAATATGTCCATTAGATGAATGGTGTACAATTTTCTGTGTATAAAGATATTTTTTAAGGAAAATTAATTAAAAAAAACAAAAAAATCTTATTATGCAACTTAAAATAAATCAAAATTCTAGAGTTCAGGCCAACATCAAAATTGTCGTTATATCTCAATATTAAGAACCACTTTTGTAAAAACATAAATGGTATAATTTAAAACCACAGGCGGTTCAACTAACGGCCTTTGAATTATTTTTAATGATTCTCGAAATGAATGTCGTCCGCATCACCCGCTAAAAGAACCGTCGGCTTATTCTATAAGCGGTTACTCCAGCGATTCTGTAAAATCGTCGAAGAATGATGTCTCCGCGGTAGTAACGGAGGCAGTTGTCCAACCGCTGAAGCAAGTAATTGCAGGCGGTTATAACCGCCTTTGATGGTAAAAATGAACTGCCTTTAAATGACAGATTTCTTGTACTCATAAATAGTATATTAACATAATATGAAATTGATTTGTGCAGGTGTGATCTGGTAGATGGCATTTCAAAGGACTAGGATGGCATACAAGAACAAGTCCTAAATGGATGATAAGAAAAATTTGTACGACTGTATTTTATTATGGAATTGAGAAGATACTTTTATGTATAGATGTCCCATAAATAAACTTTTTGTTAGTTTTATTTGGCAATTTTTTCCCTCTATGATATTGGTAGAAAGCTTGATTAGCTTATAAATATTGAAAACATGATGGCTTGTACAAATTCTTCAGTGATAATAGAATACAATATTTAGTGTTTGGTTCACATTTTAATGTGTTCACTAAATCATGTTTGAGCTATTTTCAACATTATTTTCTTTATTTTTGTAATATTTATCGAATTCATAATATTTTTAATTTTAAAAAAAAAATCGCATATTTAGCCATGGTCATGAATGTGACTAAAAAAAGTTTTAGGCACAATTAGCAACATTTTTCTATTGTGGCAAACAAAACAGTTTAACCACATTTATAAAGTGGCTAAATTAACAATAAATGTGACTAAAAAAAGGCTACCACACTTGGTCAAAATGTGGCAAAGTGAATAAAATAATGTGGTTAAATTATTGCAACACAACTTCTAGCAACATTTTATCAAAATGTGGTAAATTATGTTAACCACATTTTTTATCAATGTTTGCCACATTTTTAAACGTGGCTAATCGGCTTTTTTTTATAGTGATAAGAAAAAAAAATTCTACCATATTCTTGGAAATATTTTTTTCTGGATAAAAATAATATATCTTCTTTACCAAACGACTCTTAGATGCTCTGAGTCTTTGATGATCCCCCTATTAAGGAGTTACACCTGCACCAAAAAAAATTTTCTATCCTCAAGCTTCTCTTCCTTTTTCTCTCCTCTATCTCCCAAATTTTTTGGACACCGAAAGCACACAAATGACGGCACTTTGACCAATTGAGGTTTTTTGAGGTTTAAATTTATCAATTAGATATTTGATTCACGGTATTTATCAATGGGGGTCATTTAGTGACGCGAAGGGGACCCAGCATCACTGAGTGCCGCGATGGAATAAAAACCTCAGATGGGTCAAAGAGCCCACAAATGACACTCATTCCTACGAAAGGCCGCTGTGCTAATACGTACGGAGGGGTCTAAAGCCACCTGTATCAGCACCTTCTATTGAACCTAGTAAATACTTTTTTTATTCCTAAAGAAAAAAAAATATGAAACACAGTTTTAATCCTTTAGATAAAAATAATTCGATTTGTGATCTTTTTAAAATTTAAAATAGATCATGTTAATTTTTTTGAAGGACGAATATGGATTTTTTTTTAATTTCTCAAAAATCACGATTTCAACTAATTGAATCTATTTTAAATTTCTGAAAGATTATAAGTTGATTTTTTTTTTCTCTTAAGGGTTTACTCTAATACTAAATAATCCATAATTAAACGAAAAAAAAGTTTAGTATTAAAAAAAATGTTTTAAACAAAGTATAAGGAGGAAAAAAGTTTCCCATGAAAGACTGTATTTTTGGATTCAAACAAAGTATAAGGAGGTATCAATACTCGGTAAAAAAAAAAAAAAAGAGTAGGGTGACAACACCATTTCATTCCGCATTCTAAATTAAATAAGTCTCTAAACAAGTATACGAACTTCTGCTTAACATTATGCTAAGCGTTTTAGGGACTTTGAAATTTCAATCTTCTATCCAATTGTTGAGTAGATTATGATACTGCACTGCATCCTTTATAGAGGTAACAGTTTCCGTTATAATTTTGTGGATGGTTTCAATTGATTCAGGAGGTATAGGCCTACTGGTGGAATTTTCCATGATATGGAATGCCACAGTTAGAAGACTTTCAGTGCCACTATCTTCTCCTTGCAACCCTTCAGCTGGAAGGATAGCAAACCCTGATGGAAGAACAATTACATTGTCTGGGTTGCATCCATTTGCAAGTTCTGACAGAGCAAACCCGTCTAGTGGAGCATAAATTACGTAGGAACCTGTTGAATCTGTGCAACTCTCTTGCAGATAAAAGATTTCAATCTTGTCCTCAGAAGTCTAAGAATTGCAAAACAAGGCAAGTTTAGGTCATAGTTGGATTTTTATGAAAACTTAAAAGAGAACAGCAAATATATAAAGAAGCTTACATTTGCTCGCATCAAGGAAACACGATTCCCTGGATTTTTGCCCTTAGTCATGTATGCGAATTCTCGAATAGAAAGTTCCCGTGAAAGCAAATCCCACTATAATTATTCAACAAAAAGCAAAGAACGTAAACATGTTAAAACATGTGGTACTACCTCGAGCTTTAGCTCATTTTATGTGACATGAGATCATGCAAGAGAATCTTAGTCGTTCATATACAAATCAACAGTAATAAAAGCATGTATTGAGATAAAAGGTGAGAAAAGATACTAGCAGTGGTGGAGCAAGGGTTGTGATCGTAATTTATGTTATTTTTTGGGGAAAAAAACTATCATTTAAAAAGACACAAGTTATGTCTATGACCGTTCATACTTTGTGTAAATCTGAAAAGCTGCTTTTTTTTTCTCTTTCCTCAGTCACATCGCTGACGTGTAAAGTGAAAAAAAAAGTAACTATTCAGAATTAAATAGAGTATGACCGATCATACTCTGTGTGTAAGTCACTAAAAACACATAACTTGTATTCTTTTAAATGACACACACTAAACTCTATTTTTTGGTCATAATAACAATGTTCGCCCCCTTCAAATTCTTAGAAGTCTTCAACATCATTTCTGTTTTTTCAGTTACATACTTACAATGAATATTATGCTTTGCTTGCTATTTCGCCCCTTTCACAAATTTTTTTTGACTTAACCATTGAATATTAGTGAAGACCCATCAATTTTTTTTTTCAGTATCCTCAGCCGTAACCGAAGATTAATCCCCAATTGAGCACCCTTTCGAGGACGACTCTTCCAAATCTTATTTTTTTATTCCTAGGGCTCGAACTCGAGACCTCTAGTTAAGGGACTCAGTCTCTTTACCACCTGTTCCAAAGGAATTTGGTGAAGACCCATCAATTTGTACTTACTTAATTCTACTATAAAATAGGGCAATAAGAATTTAACTCGTGATCCTCTAATCATGAACCATATAAAACAATTATCTCAGCTAGAAGCTTAAACTTAGAAGTGAAGGCTAAATCAATAATTTTTATATTATATTTTTCTAATAATTTATATCTAAATTCATATCATATAATAGAATTAATTGCAGATTGGATATGTATACCTTGCTTCTGGAATTCTCGCGACGAAGGAAGTTGAATAGTCGATTTGGGGGGACTTCAAGCCGAAGAGAAGTAGCGAAAACCACCGTTGTACCACGAGGCTTCGCAGCAGCAGCATCCTCCATGTTATTCTTTAAAATGACTCTCACATCTGTAGAATCAGGAAATGGACCTCTTAATTGCTTCCATGGATTGCATGTGGAAGCACTGATATCAGCACAAAAGCTTCTCATCATTCTATACGCCAGATTCAAGAAACTTGTCCTCCCAGCTTGAGGGATATGAACTGCTCAGTATCAAAAGAAAAATGCATGATTAATTAATTGAAGCAAATAAATATGCTATACTATTGTTGCAAAGTCTCGTACACATATATAAAAGTACGTGAGGTTTATGTGAGGTTTATGTAAGGGCTACGCAAAAAGAAAAGAGAAAAAAAAAATGAATCCTATATATTTTTATCTATGTGTAAGAAATAAAATTATTTACTATAATATGAGAAACACTAATCTCATTGTTATAATAGAAAATAAGTTGTTATTTTAGTTGGTTTTAACCTTTTTCAAAACAATTATCAAGCACATGATTAACTGATAGCTATTTTTCCAGCTTAATCAGTTATCTTGAGTTCGAAAAAGAACATAAAGTGAAGCAGATGTACCTCCATCATCTGCAAAAAGTGTTGTTGCATTCAGAGTTTCTAACCATTCACTGTGCCGAATTATGGAAGCAAGCCAACGCGTTGCACCAAAAGCTAAACCAGAAGTGACTAGATGCTGAAAATGATTATTCAATTGGCTATGGTCTGCTTCCACATGCTCCACCCATATAACCTATGATAAGAATTTAAAACAATTCAAAATTATACAACTTATATGGCTTACAAAAATGAATTAATCAAGAAGTAAAATTAATGTCATGCAATCAATTAACACTAACAAAACAACCTTAGAGTATCCATTAGGCATTCCCGTAATCAAACAGCCTGAGGGCCTTCTTCTAAAATTGGTTGATGGAGAAGGAAAAAACTTCTCCAATGAGACATCAACGACCACCCAATTCTCATGAGACAATTGTTTGCAGTACCTGGCAAAATAACACTCCCGAGTCGGAACAAGGGGAGTAGGCAAATGAAGTTCTGCGTTCATCTACAAAAAGAATTGAAGATATACAATGAAATTACAATATTTGCATTAATTCTGAAATTCAATTGACAAGATGCGTTCATTTTTATTCATTGATAGAAACATGTACAAAATGGTAATAGGATGCAGATAGATTATAGAACATAAATAGTGCCATGTAAAAATATGTACGAATGAAAAGAGCTTATCAATAAAGAGTTTTTCATTGCGAGGGGTAAGAGAAATAAATCTTCATCATAAAACTATACTGATTATTAAAATTAAAAGTTATTTGAAGTTTGGATGATAAATTTTTTTAAAAAAATATTTTAATAATTCTCATTAATATAAGATCTAATGGTCAAATTTTATTCTTTGTCACACTCAAAATAAACTACTCTCACTGTTTGCTCTCTAACTAGACATGACAAATTCTGCTATTTTCACCTACGTTATCTTTTGCTTCCTACTTTACTTTTTTTTTAATTAAAAATGTAGCAATCGTAATGTGATTTAGAATTTTTTAATTAATTTTAATTACTGTAATTGTTTTAATATTTTAATTTTGTACTTTGTTCCGGTTCTACTGCAATATCCTTTTGTTAAATAAAAAATTATAGTTTTGGAGAATTATTAGAAGAAAATATTCAAAACTTATCTCTTTGGGTGTGTTTGAATGTGTTTTTGTTTTTTTTTTTTAAAACTGTTTTGAGGATAAATTTTGAAATTAATTTTTGAGAATAAAAAAACAATAAAACTTGTTTGAATATGGTTAGTTTTAAAGTTATAAAGAAGTTGTAGTTATTTACAAAAATGTCATTAATGAATCCTCGTATTTACAAGATTGTCATCGCAAAATAATTTAAAAAAAATATTAAAAAATCGATTTAATTACGAAAATGTCATTAATGAATCTACATATTTACAGGAATGCCACCTCTAAAACAAAAAAACAAGAAAACAACTTTTGAAAACATCCTTCTATTGTTTTGCTTTTTCAGTTTTTAAAACAAGAAAACAGACATTGTTTTTAAAACAGACATTGTTTTTAAAAACAGCATGAAAAAGTCTTTCCAAACAAGATTTTTTGTTTTATTGTTTTTAAAATTTAAAAACTGTTCTGGAGAACAGAAATCAAACAGAGTTATCTCCAAATCTTGTCGCTTAATTCCTTCACTAATTTTTCTCTTTCTCACCGCGATACAGGCTCTATTTCCCTTCGATTCCTAAAAATAATGTAACAACCATATATTTGTATTAAGATCTATAATTTTTTAAATTATTATAATTTCTTAATATTTTCTAGTGTGAATTAGTTGTGATTCTGTTGCAACAATATTTTGTTAAACACTGAATTATAGTAACGGAGAATCACTGCACTGAAATATTCCAAACTTATTTCTCAATTCCTTGCCTTCTCTCTCATCTTCTCAGGTGATTCTCTCTCTAATTTCTCTTTTTTATTCCCTGCAACCTCTGTCCATTCTTTCTTTTATCAGTATGCACAACACATGAAATATCCGGATTTAGCCCATTTGTGAATTAGTTAATTGAACTTTGAGAGTATAGACAATCCGTTTTCAATATGAAAAAAGATACTTGCACATATTATGTGAGGATGTACACAATCAAAATCATTAAAAAATATTTTCAACATAGAGATAGGTAAAAAATGTGAAATTATAAATTTGTACAAATGTACAAGCATGCTTTCAAAATTGCTAATATTTTCAATGCAATTCATATATCAGGTTGAAAACACAACCTTCTCATAGAGATTTGTCCACAAGGGCTAATTTGGTTCATAGTTAATTCCAACCTTCACAAATTCAAATATGTTCTGAAAATTGTATCTAATGTATGCTAAACCATCTTTTCCAATGGAAAATTAAGAATGATTTATGGCACATAACGACTCAGGAGTTCGTGATACTAATTAGGATCTCAAGTTCGTGTGCAATGTTTGCCCTTATCTCAATTAAATGATTCCATGAAAGCACTTAATTAACTCAATACTTATAAATTACAAGAACAGATAAAATGCTGAACTTACAACGTGCACTTTGCCATCATAGGTTCCTTCCTCTCCATCTGAAAAGGTTCCTAGGATCGTTGTTCTTGAGACAATGTTGTAAAATGCTCCCGACCATTGATTCTAATTAATAACCAACAAAAAAAGAGAAAAAAAAAAAAAAAAAAAACTCAAGGTTACTTGAAATCACACTATACAGAGCAGTAAATACATAGAAAGCGACAAAGAAATCACCTACCACATCCATAAGGAATTCAACAATGTTGATTGGACTTGTGTTAATATATGCCATATCACGTGAAGCTTCAATTTGTAGAGTTTCTCTCGGAGGTGCATTTGATGTTGGATGCTCAGTTTGATATGAGCCAAAGCTTGGTAAATGTTGAGGTTCAACCTCAATCAACTTCATAATCTCCCTTAGCGTTGTATCAACCTGACCAAATTGTCTCAAGTATTCAATATCATTTAGAGTCTCGTACCTATTTTCTTTCTGAGGTTGCCATAAAGGTTCCCCTGCAACAGCTATCTTTGATAACTCATTCATAGCAGAACAAGCAAGATCAATGATTCCACTCTTGTTTGGCTCAGCATATATTGAGACTCCAAAAAGAAGGTCACATGCTCGTTCCATGTTAACTCCACTGCTCATAATTACGTTTGTTGAACTAGAATCAGATAAAGTAGCATTAACATTTGCACATTGTTCAGAAGACAATCCCTGAGGTTCCATTGTCATTATCATTCTCTGATATCACTCTGGGAATGACAAAGGAATCAAAGGAAAAAATTAAATAAAAAAGGACAGTATAATGGTTAAAACAATTTATAAATTAACTCAATTAATTACATGTTTCAATTTATAAATTATCAAGCAGCTACCAATCAGCAAAATCACTAATATAGAAAAAAAAAATTAAAAAAATTCACAAATTCTTGTTTATAATCCTGTAACAACTAGGTCACTTGATTTTAGGGATTTGATAATAATAATTATTGGGTAATTGCATCTTTAACAATAAGCCATTGAATGCAGGTATTATGAATTTAAATTTTTCATTTACCTAGCAAATCATATTGGGATCATCCACTCCATCTTACTGTCTTACTACAAAACTGAACTAAAAATCCTCATGTCAGTTAGAAAATACCGTAATAAACATTCTAAGAAATAAGAAAAAAAAAAAAAAAAAGACTTAAACGAAATTACTCAATTCAGAATGAAGGGGTGAGAAGGGTGACGAAAATAAAGATAAAATTTGGTTGTTAATTACATATGATTGGGTCAAATAATTAAAATGTAATGTTACGAGTGATTACGTCACGAAGGTTGTTGTGGTATTGGTGAACGGTACATTCCAAAGACGCCACACACCAGTGGAGATTTTCTTCATTGCCGTTTCTTCGTGCAGTCTTAACAAATAGTTTGTATTAACCTATTGTGTATTTTATTGTTTAATAAAATCTGACTGTTTTTGGGTCCTTTCATTCAATATCATATGAACCATGGGTCTATCTATCATCTATGGCCCAACCCATTCTAACATATTTCAATTTTTTTCATTTTTCATTTTCATTTTTTTTTTTTTGATATAAACATGCAGCTTTCCTTTTCTTTTCTTTTTTCATTTTTTTGAGATAAAATATCATTGCTGCCTCGGATATTTGTTAAATCCTCACAAAAAATCAGGTTAATTAACAATATACTCCTCGTATTGATTAAAGAGAAAAAAGTTTAAAAAATTACTAATCAAACTTTTAAGAGTATTAAATACACATGAATTTTTAAGTTTTTTTTTCTATAGATAGTTAAGAGTATTAATTATATGAGCCCTACATTTATTTTCTTTGATTAAAAATATCGATTGACACATTAATAACAAAATTACTAATCTCCCCTCAAGAGAAAAATTTAAATCTTATTTATGAAATCTCTTAAACAATAATTGATATACTGTACGGCTATAGCACTGTGCAGGTCCACCAAAACACCACTTTATAAGACGATATATTATCTTATAACCAAGTGATAATTAGTTGATTTTGATATTTAAATCATACTCCGATAATTGTATAAATAAAAAAAGGACTTCAGACTCGGTGTAATGCCAAACTTTTAATATTAAAATTTATCCAGATTAATATTATATGATTAATAATTCTATATTTTAATACCGGTAATGCCAGAATAAATAATATTTTGTTTTTGTTCGCTTTTAATTAATTATTAATTTCTTCTTGTACTGAAAAATGTAGAAGTCAAATTTTGGACTTCTCTAAAGAAAAGCAAACAAGGAAAAAAAAAATTCATCCCAAAAACATCAAAATGTATGATAAGTAAAAGATAACAATAACAACATGTCAAAACTCTTAATTCTGGAAATATTTCACTTTTCATTTATTCATTTCCTCTTCTAATTAAGGGTATTTATATACAAAATATCTGCATATCAAACTAAAGATAGAACCAAAAAATCCTCTAACAACTTCCTAACCAAACTATTTGTTGTGAAAAACAAATTCCTAAACAGATAATTTCTTATACATAACAGTATTTTAAATTCAAAAATTCCTTAATCTAACACAATCAAAAGGGATTGGTTCAAGGGGTATATATTTGATTTCGCGATCTTGAGTTTAAGTTCTTATAAATATAAAAAAATTTCTTAAGAAGAATTAGCCTCACAATCTCTCTTGAAGGATACCTCTAGTTTATTAAAAAAAAAAAAAAAAAAAAGCTAACAATAGCAAATGCTTAGATATAAATGCCGGATAAATCTTACCCATGCATATATCAGCTCATCCACACAACACAAGCAAAATAAAGTGGATAGACAGGAATCAGTGACTCAAAATGTTGACAAGGTCTAGGTACTTGCAAGGCCATGATTACTGAAAGTGAAGGCCTTTATATTATTTTCTTATGCATTTTCAGTCATCCCAATTACCCATTCCATGTCAAATTTTCACTGCAAAGGGAAACACATTATAAATGCCCCTGACTCAAAATTACTAACCAAATTAAAAGTAGGAGTTTGAATATCTGCAGCAACATCAAATTTCAAATCTTTGCAGCAGACATAAAAACATGGTGGGATTCACCGTTTAAAAAAAAATTAAAATAAAAGTTGAACCTTTGACATAAGAAGAATTCATTTACGGTGACATAGAAAGTATTTCTCCCTTTAAAAGTATGGGGGTTGATTTTCTCATATTGCATGATAATTGAATTTTCATGTTGTGACTCAATTAGTGATGGGTCTCACATTTATTAAAAAAAAAAAAAAAAAAAATTTGCATGTAAATCAAAGAGGCATGACATTAGAATTGAATTCTCATAAAATATAAGAAAATAAAATATTTTTCCTGAAAGTATTGATAAAACGGTGGCTTTTCTGATTTACACATATATGCAATGTATTGACCCTACAATTTTATATAGGACAGAACTTGCTTCTTTACTTTATTTCAACCCAAACATAACCATAATAGAATTCTCTCTGAAATGGCGCACACGTTTTAAATTTGGCCGGAGTAATTTTTCTACTTCTGGTGCCTAGATTTTCCAGTGGAAGATAAATGCAAGTGCTGCAGAGAAAGTGACCAATCTTATAGCTCTTGTTTGTTTCTTGGAAAAGTGATCTTCCGGGCAAGTAACTCATTTATCATCATGATCCACGTGTTTGTTTTTCAGCTTAAACCCATTAAATTTGCTTTCAAGTATATGTACAAATTAGTACCAAAAAAATATAATAAGTAGGTTAAACTACGGTCCTGTTACATCAAAATCACAAATTTATCCAGCTGATACATTGATTTTTGTGCTTTCTTTTTTCTATTTTTTTTTTAAAAACACATGTGGGCCCATTAGTTGTTTTGTGTCAACTGAAAATATTTATGTTTTCTAGTAACATAACCCTAGTTTTTCCCTAATAAGTATGCTAAAAAACCCCACTTTCTTTCTAAAAAAGAAAAAGACTCCAACCCCCTTTGGTTCAAATGTAATGGCTGGTTCATCCTAGACAATAATTGGTTTTTTTTGGCGGGGGGATGTTGACCGTACCAGTGCATTTTTTATATATATTTCACCAATTGAGCTCGTTGGTTAGTTATATCATCAGAATAATACAGGAAAACGCGTTTTAGATGTATGCGCGTTTAGTCTCACACAACTCATATGTGCGTTTGATGCGGCGACAAAAATAGACACGCACATATTCACCAAAGATGCGCACGGCAAGAATGCAAGTCTAGACGCGCATTAAGTACAGGCGTGTTTATTGGCAATATTCCCATCAACCACACAGCTCTTAAATTGTGGTTGGAACATGTCATCCAAAACTTCTTGTTGTAGACGCAATTGGATTTGCGGAAGCGTTTAGACCGTTGCGGTTTGGGATGCAACGGATCTTCATCATTTTTCTGATTTACCTCTTGATGCGCAGATCTCATGTAGAATCTCCTCATATATGATTCTCCTTCACAAACTACTCACCTCAACGCCACAACACAAACAAACTCCTTGAGGCTGGACATTGGCAAATCTTCCAGACTATGTCTCAGGGGGATAGGGAAGTGTGTGGGCACTTTATAAATCTGAGTTTACCTCTTTCAGTTCATTGACCTCTGAGGCTGATAACTTAAATAGTAGTATTTATATGGGTAACAAGAAACCCTAGCCCTAAGATCTCTTTAGACTCTAGGCTTCTTGGGCTCTTCTCATACTCTTAGCCCAATTGGGCTTAAGTAAAAGAGCACAAACTCAGCAATCTCTCACTTACCTTTTTGAGTACAAACTTGAGTTCAAAATCCAAGACCATGTGACTCTCACAAGTCATTATTAACTTAGAAACACATCATCCCTTATTTCAATCTAGCCTGGGGATTTACCATTTGTTATTAGTCAATGCTCTTGATAATCAACGAATGATTATCTAATTCAGTGCTACTCCATTAAAAGCCCGAACTTGAACTCCAAGATTAGTAACACACATAACATGAAAATGTATCAACCCTTTGTAGAATGTCAATAATTGATTGATAAATTTTCTGTTACTCAATCAATTATTTATTTTCTTGACTGTGATAGTTTATCTAATGGATTATATGCACTGACCGGTGTCTTCAATATCCAAGTACCGAAACATATCAAGGGGACATATTCTATAAATTACTGATTTTTTATCTCATACATACAGATAATCAAATAATCTCACTCCCAAAATACCGAGTTATTGGCCATCAAAATATTGGACCTCAGCCATTGGTAAATCAAAGAATGAAAACTATTCAATCACCTATTTATAATAAACTCATGATTAAGAGTAATTACATAACTATAGTTAACTAGAGATTTGATACCTTATGACAGAAATACAACCTTAATCAAATCTTTCCTTGATCCTTTCAATGTGAATATTAATTCACATCAATATTTTATAATGATTCAGACAAAATTATTTCATAAAATATTGCAGTCTAAATAAAGCGTCCAACTTTATTTAACAGTTGTGAACCTATTCATCAATTGTGAGAACTTATGATCATGTCCTCTATGAACGTATCCAAATGATCATATACTCTACAATTGATCCGGACCTTAGTGTTTGACAATTGTGTGCACAAAACAATGAA